AGTCCTCTGGCTGCTTTTAACCCTCTCCATGTCAAACAGCCAAACCCATGTTAACCCTGGTTGTTGCTCTTTCTTTGTCCCCCTCTCTCTGTGCTAAAGACGCCCCCTCTTCAGTCTGGCAGCCGCTGGTTCAGACTTTTAGCTGCCCAGAGCTCAGCAGGTGGGGCTGATTTACAGACCGTACTTTGACAACACAGGGTGGAGAAGCTGGAATAACAACAGGAGGCTGTAGGCAGCAGAGGGTCATGGAGGGGGGGTGTAGCTGGGAGACACCACGTCCACCACATTAGACGAGAAGACTGATACCATCTTTGTGCCTGTATGCTAATTATGAAGCTTGACCAGCAAACTAGCGTAGTTTAGCATAAAGGGCTCTTTTCAGTGTCAGTATGGAAAACAGGGGCAAATACAAACAACCAGAAAGTGTTTTCATGTACTTATGGGTATGTGAACCCTGTTTTGAGATGGACTTTGAATCTCTTCTTTAAGTGACAGTAATGATCATAACCCCATAATTAATATCTGTGTAAATAAAGCCAGATATTGCCAATACATTCAACAACACAGCTCAATGTACAGTATCTCCAAAGTTTGTCCTTAATTCAGCCAATAATAAAATGAGGAAGTGATCTCTGAAATGGGTTTTTTTGTTTCACATCCATGTTATGAATCCAAATTTATGAGACCTTTAATTTTACTTGACAGAGTATAGGAGTGTCTTGATGATTGTTATTCCAGATGGCGGCCAGAAAATCCCATTTGAAGGTTTTATTAATTTTGGTTAAAATGAAAGAGGGTTTCCAACGCTGTCTTTGCTTTTTCACTGATGAGGCTGACTTACATCTCGCCACTCCCTCCATTTGTCATTGTTTGAAAAGGTCTTAATTGTATTACATGCAAATGAAGAGATTTGATTTTTGCCCATTATCTATTCATAAGAGAAAATGAACAGAACATTAGTGGGTCACCAAATGAGGGAGGGGTGAGGAGGGGAGGGAACGGGAAGAAGGGGTGAGAGGCAGACAGCGAGGAGGATGATACAGAGGATAAGTGGCAGCTTTACATTACTGTGCCGTACTGTGTGTCTTCTAACTTTGTAGGAAACTAATCCTCTACCCCCATGTCCAGAGAATGTGAGCGTCTGTATGTGTGAATGTAATAGGTCAAGGCTGATAATTAACCTATGATGACTGAAACACAGCAATTACAGTCATACTCATGTGACAAATCAAAGTGACAGAGGCTTGAATACACTCAGGCCTCCTCTCTGATTAGGTTGAGACCATCATCCTCTGGATTATGTGCAATATATATTCTAATCAGATGTACATCCCCCTTGTTTTAATTAGGTCTTATATATAGCAGTAAAGGGTCTGTTCACCCAAATCACTAAGAACATATTACTCACCTCTTGAACTATCATGCTGATGAATTTATTTGTCCAGGTTTTCAGATCACTTCTGAGGCTTCTTCCTCCACCCTGATCCAAAAGTACCACCAAAGGTAATTGAGATTTTTGTATTTCTACTGGGTGAACTGACCCTTTAATTAAAGTGCTGAGGTAGACAGCAACAAGTTAATGAAAATCAAACTTCATTATTAACACACAAAACTGATGGTGAGGTCAGACAGTACAGAATCCGGTCGTGGTGAAGAAGTACTCTGATTATTGACTTAAGTAAAAGTAGCCCATGGTGTTAAAATACTCTCTCATAAGTAAAAGTCCTGCAGTCAAACATACATTCAAAAGTCCAAAAGTATCAGCAACAAAACATACTTAAAGTACCAAAAGTTAAAGTACTCATTACACAGAATTTATTGTGTAAAGGTGGAGATCATGTTAACTACCCTATACTTACCTACTGCTGTGTAGCTTATGAATTTCCCACTGGGGATCAATAAAGTCTAATGACTATACTTTAGTTTTATTCATCTGAATCTGAAAAGTAGCTGAAATTATCAAATACATGTAGTACAACATTTGCCTCTGAAATGGAGTGAAGTCTGAGTGTGAAGTAGCAGAAAATGAAAATATTAAAGAGATTTACAGTAAGTACATACTTGAGTAAATAGTTACTTTCCAGCGGTGGAATCAGGGATCCCGGACGAGTCCAGTATTAGTTGTGGACTGAGGTGTGAGTGCAGATCCCATGTGGAGGCAGAGGCCACAGCAGGTAAAGCAGAACGCAGCGAAAGCCTGATGAAGAGGGACAGTGAAGTGTGTTGGTCAGGAATGAGCTGAGGCCCATCGGAACAGCGGAGGAGGGAGCCTGTTATTGAATACTGTTTTTGGCCCATTGTTAAATTACAGCTTAATTCCTTTTCCATCATCATAACCATTTGTTTTCCTTACTGGCTGGAGATAGGGGGATGACACCAGGGACTGTAGCAGAGGAGCAGGCAGATGCTTTTTCTTTGCTCTGACTCTGTTGGTCTTTAGTGCTGTAAGTGTTTTGGTGGCCACCGCATCATCACTTCCCCTCTTAGCTGATTCCTGCCATTGGTCATATTTGACACCTTGTCTACTCCAGACCAAGCCTGCTGCACTCAGGACCCACTTACTTGTTTCTCCCATTTCTTGCCATCACCTCATCTTCTGTTTTTGCCTGTTTTTTCTAACCAGCTCTCTTCATTTTTTCTCTCATCATCACCCAATAATTTGTTTTTCCACCCCATTCTTTGGTGCCATTCTAGCATTATTACATTTGCTGTCCTTTTTAGCCATGCTACTGTAGAGACAGTGTCGATCTGTGGCAGTCACCACTTCTCCAGACCGAAGCTCAGCCACTACTGGGTTGAAATATTGTGCACACTTCCTGGTCCTAGAGGATGAATCCTACTGACTCTGGTGATCCTCTGACGTTTCCTCTGTTGTTCCACATCAGGTTGATGTGTTTGAATTGTAATGCAATATCTTGATAACTCTTAGAGGTCATGTAATAAAATCTGGGGCCCAGGGCATGAATCCCAGTGACTTTGGTGATTTTTGACTGAAGGATAATCATCTTTATTTGGCCAAGTATGTTACACACAAGGAATTTGTTTCCTGTACAGAACCGAGGCAGCCATTTTTGGGGCGCCAACTCAATGGCTCTAACCATTGGGGGCAATGGGGGGGTTCAGCATTTTGCTCAAGGACACTTTGACACATGGACTGCAGGCACCAAGATTCGAACCTCTGGTTGGGAGACCACTGCTCTACCCACTGAACCACAGTCACCCTGACTTTTCATCCAACACCACCAAAAGGTAGAAATTTTCACTCATTTGGAGAAAAATGTCTCAGTATCAGACTTTTCCATCATAAGGCTGACACGTTTTATTTTAGTGAAGTGTGTTGGGAGCTATTAGATTGATTTTGTGCAGAAATTTGTTTCTCCCTCAGGACGAAATGCAACCATTTTGGTGAGGACCTGATTTTTCATTTGGCACCATCCCTAGGTCAAAATGATTTTGTCCTATACTTTGATTTATGACCAAATACCTGCAAAACAAATGCCATTCCCATTAATCTCAGCCATACTTTGCTGTGTTTTGTGCTCATTTGTGAATGTTAGCATGCTAACATGCTGAACTAACATTATACCTGCAAAAATGTCATGTTAGCATAGTTGTCTGCATGTTATGCTGACATGCTTGGATCCCATTCCTTCACACCCTTTGAAATGATTCACAACCCTTCTCTAGAGTCTACATATTTGACCCATTGATTCAGATATCTGACAGATAGTTAAACAAACAAAGCATCAGCCATCCTCACATCTAAAACCCATTCACTCCACTGCAACCAATCCCTCTCCCCAACACTCCTCCTTTCTCCAGCTGCCCTTGAGCTTTTCTATTACCGCATGGAAAGCACCTTGCAGCCCCTGACAAGCGCAGCGGATCGACACTAAATCAGAAATCAGTGCCAGCCACAGATCTGAGCCACCATGAAGGTCACAGGCCCTACACTGTGTGTCGTCTCAATCGGGGGAGCAGGAGTAGACACAGCTAGGGTGATGTGTGACTGTGTGTTTGGAGTGTGAGTGTGTGTCAGTGTGTTAACAGGGGAGTCACCAAAAAAAGGAGAATTTGGAGTGCGGGAAAAGACATGAAGGAAGAGCAGGTCAACACGAATGCAGATGTAGGACAGTGGGACAATGGGATGCAAGAAAAGCTGCAGCCAGAGAATGCTGAAATCACACAAGAGAATCACATACATGCGTCAAATTCTGCTTATAAATTAGATAAATACAAGGGAGGGGCACTGGTTTCCCTGGCTATTAGAGGTTTGAACCTTCCCCTGATCTCATGGGACTGTAACACACTGCCATCTAATTGTAAGCTGGCAAACTACACCTATTTAAACAGCCTGGCTACACAGCTGAATGTATTTTGTTTAATGTTACTTCAGGTGGATGTGTGACCTTCACTGTGCAGGATGATGCATGTGCAGAGACAGTAGAAGGCTGTTTTCACATCCATCTGTTGAGGGGAGATGTTTCTCTCTGTACAGTTTATACTTTACTTGAGTATTTCATTTAATTTACTTGTCCCTCTCTTGTCTGTACCCAGCTTCAGAATAGGATTTTTATTCATGAACAGAAAAAACTTTAAATATTTCATTGAATATATTCAAGGAGCAGGGAGCATACAGCCTGCCTCTTTCCCAGTGTTGATAAACATTAGGGAGGGGACAGTGTGTCAGTTCTGGTTACTTAACAGACATTACTTACAAGTGATATGTCAAAAAGATATAAATAATTTAAAAAAAAATCACAACCCATAAACAGTAGGATCATTTACTACTCTAAAAACAGCCTTTGGTGGAAATTTATTTTTTATTACTAAGAGCAGTGTTTTTATTCTGTATTTTATAATATATATGGAGGTGATATTTAAGAGGTAACGAATTAAAATACCTCTGAGTTTGCAAAAACCTCACATTACCACCATAATGTAAATGTCATATACAGTTGTTGCCGTCTTCCCAAATATCGAATGAGTCTTGTCCCGGAAAAGCTTCCGTAGTTTGAGTCACATGAATAGTTTGTAGTGGTCGTGACTAAAAGAAAAATCACGTTTTAAACATGTAGCTGACATAGTTCACTGCTGTATTAATATTTTTATGAAATTATCCGATGAATATACCCAGGTGTTGCATGTAAAACCATCACACAACGGCGATAAATAGGACGAAGCGTTTCTGTGTTTACGCTAATGCCCGGTAAAGTTAGCTTGTTTACTAGGCACGCTAATGCTCGGTAAAGTTAGCTTGTTTACTAGGCACGCTAATGCCCGGTAAAGTTAGCTTGTTTACTGGGCTTTTTCGTTTTGCTAACCCACATGATAAGGTCGTTTTGGTTCCTTTTCAGGGAAATATCTAATTATCCAAATTGGCTTCATTCCGTTCCTTAGGCTCACGTTAGCCGCTGAAAGACGAGGACATGCTTCGGTGGATTCTCGGTGGTCGGGAAAACCAAAGCTCAGTGGAGGTAAGATGTATCTTGGCTAACGTTGCAGCAAAGTAATCCCATAAAATGTACCTGTAATGTTAGATTATCTAACGTTAAGTACATTATCTCAGTAGTACAACGTCGAGGTGCTTGACTTTTACCAGAGTAGGTTAGTTTTTTTTCTGGTTTATACTTGTACTCCATTTCAGAGGAGTCAAAATGTGGAGTCATAAGCTCTTTTGCTCTTTTCTATGTTGTTTTGTGTCTTTGCGTTTGTTTTACATTTGCTTGTACTCATTTAGTGTCAATGTCGTTGTTTTGCATCAGTTTTTTCCTCATTTTGTATTTCCTTGTAGTCATTTGGTCGATTTTCCAACAAGAAATATGAATAACTTAATACAGGGGCCACTGGGCCATTCAGTAATCCATAGCTAAGCTACAGGCTAATACCTGACATAAAAACACATGGTAGATGTACAGTACATATCACACTGTTAAAGGTTACACTAATAGTGCCAGCCCCTTTGTGACAACTTGCAAAACAGCAGCACAGGATATGCTGTGATGGGAGCTGAGGACTATTGATTTATTTTATTGATCAGAAGCTAAAAAGGACTGACTGATTGATTGATTGGCTGAGTGATTTCCTCCAATAAGAGATTTTCTACAGGCTGCTCGTTCTGCCAGTGACTCAGATGGATTCATTCACAGTTCTTTCATTCTCTGCATTTCAGGGACTAAATACCAAACGATTATTCAATTAGGTGAGAAAACAATCAGTAGATTAACCAATGACAGTAAATGTTATTAAAGTAAAAAGTACCAGAAAAGGAAATAAAAATTCCTTCAATCTGTATTTTAGTGTAGTGGTTGAATAAATGTACAGAGTTACAGTCTGTCCCTGCTCTTCTCACTGAGTCTGAACCTCGCAGCCTGTTTATCTCACTACTTTTCCTCATGTCTGCAGAAAAGCCCCGTGTTGTGCATTGGAGAGGATCAGCCCAAAAACTGGTTCACTGAGCTGCAGGTGCTGAAAGGACATTTTGACATTGTTCGATTTCTGGTACAGATTGATGACTTCAGGTAAGCAGAGCACAACCCCACCCCCCTCCTTTTTCCAGTTTTTCTCTAACCTCTCTCCTCTTGGCTGGCCTCTATCCCTTTGTGATTGACAGGAGATCCTCACCTACTGCAAACTTACAGAGCATGACAAGAGCCTAATCATCGCCACTGTGTGGTTGCGTGTGCACAGTACAGTATAGCCAAAGCCTTTTAATGATGTCCATACACACATGGACGCACGCACATAAATTTTGCAACTGCTCTCCTCTCTGTGCTGTTTTGTGGAAGCATGCTGCACACTGGCATGGTAGAGTGGGCCTGCATAAGTGGTCAGATTGGGATTTATAACAGAACTAAGTGTGTGTGTGTGTGTGTGTCGTGTTGTGGGGGCTGCTTCACGCCCGGTCTCCTCCAGTAATAACCCCCTCCTCTGGGTCTCGTCCTCTCTGCACACAGGGCCACAGTTGGGGGCAAAGGCCAGAAAATTCTCTCCAGATTGCTTTTGAAGTCCGAAAACGTATCCTCGACTTTTCCTCTCCTCTCATTTTATCTGTCGTTTTTATCCGCTCATCCTGTCTGTTGATTTTGGGAACGAGTGG